TTAACTAATACGATCGTACGGTTTAGCATTTTCGCTAATTGTATGAATGTATAAAAATGAGCATTCGCCGAAGTTTCTTGCTCCGGTACATGATAAGCAAATAGAAATTTACATTGATTGGATCCGCAATATTTTTGATTTGTTTTTGCGTCCATTTCATGTAAATTCACGAGAGTTGATGGATCAGATTTCATTTTTACGTCCATTGGACTTTTTTTTACGTCTATGCAGAATAGACTAATCGTAATCAGCCACACGAGGCATAAGATACATATAAGAATTATGAGTTGGACAGATTTTATGAGTCTCGTATTTTTCATTCTGTTGAATGTCGTATGAGTAAAAAAAAAAACGTGAAAAAAATTCCGACACCTTTTATAAATAAAAGCATAATAGGAACTTACAAATAATTGGGCTTTTAAACAATCGATAAACAGGGTTTTATTTTGTCAAGATCTCTTTCAAGATTAATTAAATCAAATTTTGTTCAACCTAATATAAATTCTTTGAGTATTCGTGTGACAAATATGGCTAACTTCCTTTTTGGTAAAAGCACTAATTTAGTGGGAAAAACAAATTTCTGCTTATGCACATACATGACATGTAACGATGATGAAAATTATCATACTTTGATAAAGTATATTGTGCATCTTTATTTTCATTTCTGCTGATTTTGAATATCAAAAAATGCTTTTTCCGAACCTTTTTAATTCCAATACCACATTCGTATTTTCTGCTGATTTTTGATACCAATAAAATGCTTGCCTATAATTTTGTCATATTCATAACATTCGGCTAAATTATATTGTGCATTACTATTATTATTTTTTTTTTTTTAGCTAATCTATATACTGATATACTACAATATTTTAAAAAGTAAATAGTAATATAAAATTTCGTTCAAAGTATCAAGGAGATGCAAACAGGACAGGATCTCAATTTATTATGATTACGAGCAATATTACGAGTACTAACTGACTATTATCAGTTTTATCAGTTAAGTGGACCAATAAAAAAAAATTTTATCATTTTCCGCCCTTTTCTATTGCCCAATTTCTTTCGTTTAAGATCGGCGTTCGTTACATTGAAAATTGGATGATCCCGGATCATTCGAATTAGGCTAATTCTTAATTTTTTGGGGGTCTTTTTCTGAATTATAATTTAAATTTAAATTTATAATTAATTACTCTTACGAATCATATGTTTATTCTGAATTAGTATTATTTTCGTAATGTAAATTTAAATTAATAAATTAAAAGTAATACGGGTACGACTTTTGGATTGGCTGCGCGATATGGGAGTCCTTTGAGTTGGTGACAGATCCTCTATTATTAAATTATTTCTAAAATAAATATAATTTAGTTTCAAACAGAATGACACCAGATAAGACAGATATAGAGACTGGACTCGTATTCGTTAAACTCGAGTCAACTCGAGTTAAATTCTGATTCGAGTCAAAGATTTTCTTGATTCGAGTCAGAATTCGAGTTGACTCGAATTAAAATTACTCGAGTCAACTTCAAATTTATGCTATATTTTATAAATAGCATGTAATTCTTTTCCTTAAACTGCATTTATTAGCATAATATAATTAACATTTATTATATAATCATTGAATAAAAATTTTTTAAAAAAATTTCCTTTAGTTCGGCCCCAAAAATATCACAAAATTTTGGCCCGCATTGTACTTTTCCGGCCCGCATTATGACTTTAACTCGAGTTTGACTCGAGTTTCTGACTCGAATTTCCAACTCGAGTACTCTTCGAGAGTCAAAAATTTCTTGATTCGACTTTGATGAGATGTTAAAAAGCAATCTACAATTTTAAATAATTCATGTATGTCATGATCATAGAACCTGAGTAAATGTAGGTACGATAACCCGTTTTCAGAATAGTTGAGATTCGAACACACATAGTAATACAAAAGGTTTATATATTAATCAACTAAAAATTCGTTAGAATGTATAAAAAAATCTTTTACCTCTTCCGAACTTTTGATCTATATTCTAAACATATAGTTTGTTCCAAGTAAAACTTGTTCCATTGTCTTAAAATATATAGCTGTATAATTTATATAATTTAGATTGAACGATATTAATTATTCCAATTAATTACCTATTAAAATTTCATAATGGTTTGTTTATACTAGAGAATTCCTTGTTTAAAATTTTAATAATCTAATTTTTGATTATTACTTCTAAAATTTACTTGACGAAAGGATTAAGTACTGTGCGTTACGGTTCATATGATTTACTATGTTCATAACTCGGTTTTAATAAAGACCTCCAAAATAATAACCAAAATTACATAAAATTTTATAATTATATATTACAAAACCAGCGGAACATCATTTACTTAGAACCAAATATGATGTTTAGAATATAGTGCGAAAGATTGAGAGGGCAAAGAATTTTTATACGTTCCGAAAAATTTTTAATTCATATGATTAAAACTAGCTTGATTCTGGCTTTAAGGTTTGCTTATTGCTAGTTAATTAATAAATAAAAGTTTATAATAGCCACATTCGCCAATTAAATTTATAAAATATTAAGTTGATTTGATATGTAAAATTTTAGTGTGTTCGGACGGGCAATTTCTGAAAATGATCGACATTTTAGGAATCTCAACATTTCTAACTTGTTATCATCATTTACTTTTCGCGTAAATTCATTATTTTTTTTTATCATTCATACTTTTATATTTTTAGCATAGAAATTTTAATCCTTGAAGTCATCGACTTATTTTAATAAAGTGCTAATGCTTTAAATTTTTAATTCTAAAACTCTTTCGTTTCTCAAATTTTATTTATATCCGTATTTAAAGAAATTCAATGATATGAAAATGGGTGAACATAAACTTCCTACAATCCTTATAATTTGAGCAGGCCCAGGTGGGCTAGCTTTTAGCGATTCAATTCAAAAAAATCATAACACGATCGAAAAGAAATTTAATGTAAAAATCTTTAACCGTGAACCAAGCCCACAAGGTACTGATGTGGTATATTTTATGGTTACGGACAAAACCCTAATCCCATTTTGGCAAAAGTTAAAACCTTTCGGTTTCGACGGTTATGACGGGTTTCGATTTCGATACCTGTCGAAACTTCCGGGTTTGCCTGGCATCCCGGCAACCTTAGAATATATTCGTCCTTTTCACGGTGTTAAATTACCTCTTTTCAAACATTTAGATCGGTGGAAAGGTTATATATTACATTACATTGCACGAGAGAAAATCATTTTTAAAATGTATTCCGGAATCAATTGATACGAGACTTCATGAAGTTGTACCGGACCCAATTGACGGTGGAATTGAAAATCATGTTGTAACGGTTCATGATCATTTAGGAAATGTATTATTTAAAACTCCAGGATATCAAGTTAAGAATGTTTATGAATTAGTAAATTAAATAATCAATTTACATTTATTGTAATTTTTAGCGATAGATTGAGAGATTTTTTATTTGAGGGTATTGACGTGCAATGGGATAAGAAATGTGTTGGATACCATGAAAATGAGGAAGGAGTTTGGGTTATCTTTGAAGATGGTACGAGAGGGAGAGGAGATTTCTTGGTCGGCGCGGACGGAATTCATTCTGCAAGTAAGTCATGAATTGGAATATACAGCATATGTGATATTATTTTTTTTTTAATTTGGGATGTTTACAGCATTCTTGCTTTACAATTTAGATAGTTCGAAAACAGAAAATTCCTGAATTGATATCAAATCATTTGGGAATCACGCAATGTTGTACAGATGTCGCTCCAAATAAAGAACTTTTCGATCGAATATTATCAATCACCGGAAATAGTCTTCTACAAGTTTCGATGGGGTCCTAAAGGAGATTGTACATTCTTAATTTTTCGTTTAATCCCCATAGATTCGTCTAATGCGATTAATGAATCATCACGTTATAGAGTATCATTTGGTTATTCTTACCCTTCTGAACAACATGAAAAAGATGATAATTGGACTTATAAGGATTATGAACTATCAACAAGCAAATTCCCTGATGATGAAATCCTGAAATGGTTTTAAATGATATCAAGAAAAGAATTAAAGAAAATAGACCTCAAGGAGGTGAATTAACTGATATATTTCTAGAAATCTGGGAATTATCTAAATTTAGGGTCGAAAATGATTATGAAAAATATTCTTTTAAAACCCTTTTTATCCTTTGAGAAGAAGACCATTAAGAGATATCGATCCTGAAACCGTTGATCAATGGGAAACTACGAGAGTAACATTTTTTAGGTGATGCTGTACACGCCATGATCCTGGATTGGAATAGGTTAGTTTGTATTACATCATGAATTCTGTGTAAGAATTAATACCTTATGTTTTCCTAGTTTTTTTTTCTTTAGGAACTAGTAATGCCTTGACTAATTTGGATGAAGTAAATTGGAAAGAAATATCGAAAGTATGAATTAGGATTAAGAGGTCGCGGATCGTATTTACGTGAATCTATCAAGAGAAGCATGTCTTGAATAGTATCAAATTTGTAATGGTAGATTGAGTTTAATGACACACCAGATTCAAAAGTTCAGTGATTTATATAATATCTTGGTGGAAAGGTGATGATGGCAAAGGGGGTAACGATCTTAACAAAGATGAAAATAAAATTTAATTGATCAT